TCGATTAAAAGTAAAAAATCGAATCCAGCGTACGTATACGAGATTATATATGTACGACATTCGAGATGAACGAGAATCAGATCCCGGAACACCATGAAAGTAAAGATATTTCGAGCAAACCGATGTCGCCATGCGATCGTGGGGTCGAGGTCCCGAGGAACATTCGAGAGATTCCCGCGAGAGAATTCGCCCACGTAGGGTGCCGTAAAAGTTTGCTTCGAATCTGCCCTCCGCCAACCGCCTTCGTCGCTATCATCCTCCCAACATCTTCCCCTCTTCCTCCATCACTTCTCTCAACTTCTCTTTCGTCTCCTTCGGTTTCTCTCCCTCTTACCATTTGTCTGCTCTCGCCACCACCCGCGATCTCTGCCTTCTCTCGTTTCTCTTTCCCTTTGGCTCTTTTTCCTCTCATTTTTACCTCGATCTCTTCCTCTTCGTGGTTGCTTCTCGAACCAATCGGCCAAGCCACGATCTCGCCGGGACGAGACACGGGACGCATCGCGTCGCGTCGCACAGCGTCGCGCAACATCGACCAGGCTCGAGAATATACCTACGTGTACAGATAGCTTGGTATGGAAGGTGGTTGGCTGAGATGTTTAAGGGGAAGACTCTCCCAAGAGCCGATGATCCTCTGATTGCGAGAGAAAGAGAGAGCGCACACAAGGAACGAGGAACAAGTCGAAGAGGTGAGGAAGGGTGTCGACGGTGGACCCAGGAGGCAAGGGGGCCTTCTCGGACCTCGAGGGCCTGTGGACGAGCCAGCAAGAAGAACGGTAGGGATGCGAGCGGGGAAGAGAGAAGGATGAGAAGTGACCGGATGGCCTTGGTCCCAAGACTTGGTTAGTTACCGCGCGGCCGACTATAACTGGTCGAGAGCTTCGTAACACAGGGCGGTATCTCCGACTTCGACCGCTTTTAAGACGACCACGATACCGCGCGACACTACAGATATACAGAATTAGACCTCTGAAATATCAACGACGATACTGTCGCGTGATCATTTTCACGCGCGCAACGTTATTTCATTTTCTGGGTGATTTTCTTCCATAGCGATACGTGAAGATCGCAGCTTTTCTTCTTTCTCTTTTCCCTAGGTTCTTCATCGAAACATCCCGACTAGCATTCCACCTGCCTTGTGCTTGCGGTACTTTCTGGCAATTCCCGGCGATTTGCTCAAAATAGAAACATTACGTTTACGCTATCAAACGACAGCAAAGTTTCGACAATGTTTTTTTTTTCAAATTTCGTTCGTAGCGGAATGTCCAAAGAAAATCAGATTACACTGCGTGGACTTTTTCTTCTTTCCTTTCCTTTTTGTCTTCTTCTCGTGAAATTGATTTATTATAGAAGATACGTTATTGGAGACTCGACTCGCAGGAGGTTCCTGTCTAGAGTGAAAATGAATGGCCTGGTTATTTAGCTAGCATTGCTCGTTATTGCTCAACAGGAGCAACTTACGGGGCTGTATAAGAAAGTATATCCATGACTCGCAAGAGACTATACGGTTAGCGCTTCACTAACGCGTACAGATTCGTGGGACTAATAATTATCCTTCGTGAGTTTGCAAAACTTACAGTTCGTGGTATTTACAATGCGTAAAATGTCAGAAATGTATGCGCAAAATGTTTCGATATCTGAGATCTGCCAAAATAAAGAGATTCTATGTTAACTGGCAGTAAAAGTTTTATTGATTTTCTGTAACGGTGAAAATTAAATTCTTATGTGAAAAGTTGCCATAAAATCTGAAGCCCTCGTTACAACATGCTCGAACTCCAGATACGATAAAACACCGTCGCCGTCGATGTCGCTTTCCTCCAAAACTTTTCGACACACAGTGGCCACTTCGTCGGCATTTAAATCATCTTGAACCAGCTGTCGACAGGTGCGTTCTAAATCATTCAATCCCAGTACTCCATCTTCGTCAAAATCTATATAGAAAAAAATTACGAAACGTTATTACAATTCGTACAATCGTACAGCATAAATTTGCATTTAGTTATGTACGCTAGAAGATCGATAGTTCTCTTGTGCAAATGATTCTTTCGTGCAACGCGAATGTCGTGTCTAAACGACATACATATATATTTCTGATTCAATAGTAGTTATAGATGTACATCGACCTCGAATATTTCTCACGAACCGTTTGATTGCTGATTCACATGGTGGTTCGTACCGTAAATTTTAAAGGCGTAAAACACTTTCAAATCTCTGGGTGCTTGTTCTGAGAAAACGGACATCATTTCGAGAAATTCCTCGAAGCAAATTCCTTCGTCTGAAGCAACGGACGTTGACAATTCCGAACTTTGGCATTTTGCGAATACCTCTGAAATTCGTTGTCTAAACGGATTTTCCTGAAACATTATTGCATTGTTACAAGAATTTCGCGCTCACGTGAGAGGAGCTTTAACATTGAACGAGAGCAAAAGGAGAACCTTTAATTCTGGTATGCGTGTTAAACAAGATAGTGGTATACGAAGAGTTGATGCCTGTTGAGGCGTCATGGATCGTGGAACTGCCCCAGGATCTCCCATGTCTCGAAATCGTTTAAATATTCTAAAAAAGTGCCGACATGTAAAACAGGAATCGATAATTGTGCATATAAAACGTTCATGCAATACCTTAAGATTTCCTTTCGAGTAAAAAACGTGCAATCTTGATAATCTTCTAATTGCTCTTCAGTAAATGTAGCTATTTTATTCCCCATTTTATTCAATAATAATAAACGTTCGACACAAGGATAACTATTAGTTTACTTATTATACTACGATGTTTCATTTACCACTTAAAGCTTACAACTGAGTTTTCGCCAACACTTCCAATGTTCAATACGAAATCTAATAATTAGGGTGTGCCTTGCCGCTCCCACTTTTAGGGACGTTTCAGACAGTAATTTACAGGAGAAAAAAGCCGAGTTATTTATACGTTTACCTTTTTCGATAAATGCTACTAATTTTTTTGTTCATGAGATGTTTGGTTTAATAATCAACATTATGTAATGGAAATAATAGGGAGTTAAAGTGACAAATCTTTTATAAATGGAAAATTGTATTATGATAGAGGAATATGAAATTAATTGTCGATAAAATTAATAGTTAAATGTAATGATCTTCGTAATTTTCTTTGCAATCGAGCAAATAATTGAGGCATTCATTGAATTCGTCCTCTTCCAAACCAGAATCTGTAAATGCATGAAACTTCTTTATGCTTCTTATTCTGCTCAATTGATTATGTAAAGATTCATACATTGCACTAAGATTGTTTCCGCTGTGTAAACCGGCCATAACAGGAACAGATTGAACATCTAAAAATGAAAATTGATAAAAACATGACACAAGTTGTATAACATGACACAATAATAATGTTCTAACCTGTTCCTATTGGCCATCCAATAACATCTCCAGTTTCAGTAATGTTGTTATTGAATATTTTTGGATATGGAGATTTTATGTACATCGGTGAAGAAATATTTGACAAATAAGTTGCAGATGCATGACAAGTACATGCTAAATAAAGCATCATCATTTCATGCACAGTAGAGCATCTATATGCTGGTTTTAACATTTGTTTCATTGCATGGGAAATAGGTCGTTTTAACCTTTCCTCTGAAATTCCTCGTAATACTATACTTTGCATATTTTTGTCCATTGATATATCACAATTCGGTGTTAAACTTGTCCACAATGGCCCTTCGAAATCGTCAAGCACATCAATCAAATCTGCTTTAGCGGTCATAGGGAACGGTAAAGTCAAGGTCGTCGCGGTTGCTTTTCGACCCAGTTTATTGAGATCAGCACATAAATCAGATAAAACTACATTTGAATATTCTTTTCGCCTGTATCTAATAGTCAATGTATCCAAAGCAGTAGCTAAAAGTGCACTACTGTGATACTTTAATTCAGAGTTGTATGTCAAATGATTAAATATACGCGAATCTCCAATTTGTGGCCAAGCTGTTTCTCCACAACAGAGTGGACTAAATAATGATGTATATTCCTCTATATGTTGCCAGCATAAAGCTGTATTGAGTATTTTAATCATATTAGATGCAGAAGGTTCAGTCCTTTTACTGTCTATACATGGAAATGATATAATACTTTTCCCGTATTCATCTTTTAAATGTTGCATACATGATGCTCCAATTCCAGCGAAACAATCCACAGAATCTAGAATTATCTATATTTCAAAATATTATCAATATTGTAGATTAACATAAAAATTATGTATATAAATATAAACGACCACATGCCTGAAAACCTTGCATTAAGTCACATTCTTCGACATAAGCTCTTATTCTTTCAGAAAAATCATCTGAAAATTGTTCTGTATTCCATAAATTCCTTCCGTAAGTAAAAATACCAAATGGATACATCGCGCCATCATGTTTATGATGTTTGATGACATTCAATGTCCTAGGGTGAAATCTAGGTAACAAATAATCTACCCATGAATTGATATTATTTTCCAAACTAAGCGACGATGATGTTGGATTCTGAGCTTCAGAAGATTCATCTAAGCTTTTAATAAACGGCGATTTATTAACTGTTTCTTCTTTTAAGACCTCTACTTTTGTATCATCCCACAAAGATTGTTGGGCTTCTTCTGACTGAGGAGTATTATACAAAGTTCCTTGTTCTTTCAAATATCCAACTGCTTCTCTCAAATCAACCAACAGCAATCTAGGAGTATAAGTAACTTGTCTCTGGAAAAGAAATTGGCCTTAGTAAAAAATTATGTATTAATTGTTTCGTTTCAAAAATATATTATTATATATTTCTACCTTTAAATTTTCGCCTTCTCTATATAGAACATCATGATTTATTTCAGATGGATTATCAGAATTGTAGGAAAAATTAGTTTCCTAAAAATATTTAAACAAAAATTAAACAGCTGTCATATTTTATGCCTAGTATATTTCCATTAAATACCTGTATATTCCACCAATGGGTTCCGATAAAATTAGAATAATGCCCTAATTGAATAGTTAATATTTCTCGAGATGTCATCCTGTATTACGAATGTAATACAAATGTATGATTGGAAATAAGGTTATATCATTAAAAACACGTGTATTACACTACACATTTATTGTTTTTTATATACACCACTGATGAAACATCAATAAGTTCGCCAAATAATGAAAGCATTATAAAAGCCAAATCTACTACAGAATTGAATTTACGTTTTGGAAGTTTCTTCCATTTTACTTCCATTTCCACTTCTTTCTTCTCATATATATAAATACATAATATACATAAGCACAGACGAGGTATATGAATAGACATTACATCTTACGGACTTTCGTGGCCCGTGACCTGAAATACCGACACACGACAAAAAATCATTGGTTTTTTAGCGCACTCTACGTTTAGACAACGGCGAGTTGGAGAATTAGTGAATGAATCGGCAACATGATTTTGAAACTCATTACAGTGTTGTCAAACTTTCAATACCGAATTGTGAGCTAGTAATCACGAAGTAACCGAAATCATTTTATTCTATATCAGAAAGAAGTCTATCCATGTTTTATGGACTTGTCACAACTTTTTTCAATACATAGTAAATTAAAATTTTTAAATTATTAATACATGGTTCTATGTATAAATTTTTAACTATCAAAATTACCATTAAAAATTAAATTGTTTTAAATTATTGTTAATATTAAAATATTAAAATTATTATATTTCCTCATT